TGGAGTAACCATTCCGTTGAAGGTCATTTTTGATGATGCCCAGTTCCTTTTCGAGACCTTCCTTTGTATTACAGAACCCGAAAGCAATGTCTAGTAGAGTCTTGATGATTCCTCTTTTAGTCGATTGATGGTGGTTGGATTTCAGGTTTAGATACTGTCCTGTGTGAGTGGGTTTTTGATATACAGATGTTTCCCATTTACTGCCGGTCCTTTTCACCAAAACGTCTAAGAAAGGCAATTCATTGTGGACTTCCTTCTCCATTGTGAATTTTTTAATTTTCAGCTTTTATTAATATTTCAATTTTAATTTTTTTGGTTGTTGCTTGCATGTTACTTCTTTGTAATTTCAGTTTTTTGTTTAATAAAATTGTTATTTTCGGTTAATCTTTTCAGTGTTTTCTGGGATTTCAAAACAATTTATATTATATTAGACAATTGAAGTCCGAACTGATGAAATAATGAGTCTGATGATCTTCAAATATGTCTCAACCTCTGACGGATGTACCAAACTCTTACGAAAGTTTGAAATAGATGAACACTTCAATTTAGCTGACCACTATTATAATATTCATGCAGCCATTGTTCACTGTGGTTCTGGCGTTGCATCTGGTCATTATTACGCTTTGGTTAAAGACAAAACGGACTGGTTTAAGTTTGACGATAGTTGTGCCACGAAGTCTTCTGGCGATGTTTTAAATTTATTGGAGCCTCTGGAGACACCCTATATTTTGTTTTATGAAAGAGACGACATTGGCAGATCAAGATCTTCAGATGATGTGGTGCTGCACACTGGAATAAATGAAGTCACCCTGGAGCGCCATTTAATTTTTGTTGTATTACTTTCTTATGACATTATTTTGTAAAATATTCATATATTTACCGTAAAGTATGAATATTTAGAATTCCACATTATATTGAACGTTTCGACTTCGGATAAGCAATACATCCTCCAAATATTACTTGTTTCATACTTATTACTGAACCTTTTGGTTTGACCAATAACTATAATTATTGCTAATACTTTCATTGGCCCGAATAATTTTAGGTGAGATTGTCTTTTTCCTGTACATTACATATTCGGCACGTGTGTAGTTTGTTTCTTAATTTTAGTTGTGGAACCAATTTGATTGTAGAACTGTTCAAGGCTGAATAACATCGAATGAATTAAATAAAGCATCTCTGCGAACCAAACTCCTGAGAAATATTTGACCACAATCTAATATAAAGAGAAGAGTCTCCAACAAATTTGTGTCTGTTCTCGTTACAAGTGATCAGCTTCAAAAGTAACACTTTTTACTCATTCGCTTTCCATGGATGACAAGACTAACGTAATTTATCTAACGTCTTTTCTTGTTCCAGAAAACAATGTATGGGTAGTCAAAATGACCACAACAACTGGCTTTTATCTTTGTCCCATTGTGTTAAAGCCAAAGTAGTAGCTGAGATTTTTCATATAGTTATATTGCCAGTTTTGTGTTTTAATGAAAGAAGAAAGTCGGAAACTTATTTTACCGAAACCGAAGTACTATTTTGCCGAAAATATATACCCTGTTGCACCTCCCGGTAATACTAAGTGTCCCCTGATAGAAACTTTGAATTGAAATGAGCTCAAGACTCGATTCTCTGAATTTTATAGCCCCAGTTGACAGTGATAAACTACTTAGTTTTTTACCTTTCTTCCATTTCCATATGAGCTTGTTCTTCCAAGTTTATGAGAAGTTGAAGTTCTTCTGCATGCTTTTGTCTTCTTTCAATCATCATTTGCTCTACGTCTCTCCTCAACTGGAGCATTCTCATTCTCTTTCTTTGGGCTGAGAGTTGCTCCAATTTTTCGTCCTCTGCTAATTTCTCCAACATCTAAAATCACAATTACAAAATAGTGAATTGAATAAAAACAAAATCAACATTTCCCATTTATTTCCTGGCATTAATGGAAAACTCAATGACAAAAAAATTTGTATATTTCAAATAACTCTAATTCATACGAATTTTAAAAGCTAGTAAGATCTTGAAAGTAATGTGGATTCTTTTAAATGTGAAAATTCTCGAAACCATATANCTTTTTTAAATGTGAAAATTGTCGAAATCAATTATGCAGTAGCTAAAAACATGCAGGAGGTGTTCAACAAGAGTGACTGCATTCAATTGACAATGTTGTTCATATTCAAGCGAGAAGTGAAATATAATCTCCTTGAAAAATTGAATAGTCTGGTTTATAATATGTTGTGTGAATTTGTAGGCTCTCTTGGAAGAATGTTTGGGAAATGATACAATAATGAAATGAGGAAATCAAATAGGGAAATAGCAGATGTATTTGTATTGTATCTACATGAAGCGTAAATAAATGTCAATAGTGATGAGGCTTGGGCAGTAATACTCAGTGATTTTTAAAAAGCATTTGATTATGTTGATCAGTTATTTTTGGCGATAGCAAAGCTTCACCACGATGTCTTCCAAAGAGTAGTACACAAATGGGTGTAACCATATTTGACTGACCATCATCAAATAGTGAAAATACATTGAAAATGGTGTTCCTCAACCAATACTGGGCCCTACACTTTCCTTATTATATATCAATGAATATTGACATCTCTAGTAGATTTATAATATATGCGGATAATTACAACCATATTACGAAAGTAAAAAAAAAGTGCACATACGTTAAAAAATGACATCAGGGTTGATATTGAATCTTTGAAAGAATGGTGTGACTCAAATTATCTTACATTTTGACTATTTGAAAACAGGTTTGAATTGAAGAACCTATTAGCACTTTACACAAATACTAAAAACTGCATAAATACCAAATTTTTTAGGGTTTGTGTGAATGTTAACTAAAATTTGAAAATCATAGTTTCAAAATGAAATAAAATAACTGGCTCCTGGGAGCATTTCTATGGTTTCTAGTGAACTTAGGTCTTTAGATGCAAGAGGTGTTTATTATTCATTGATAGAGTACCATTCAAGATATGATGTTCAAATCTGGGGAGTTGCAGATAATAGTCTTAGGTAGAGCACAGTGTTACTACAAAAAACAAAGTTCTTACAGATCGTTGTTTGTTTCACAAAAGATATTGATCGTTATTGACATACTAGCAAGTTTAACACTATCCCTTCACAATATTTTAGCAGTAAAAAAAATCACTTATTACCTATAACATATGAGGCTTTTGAGAAGAACTCACCCATTTATAATGGACGAAAAATATCTAATTATTTACCTAATAATATAAGGATCTCTAATATCATGTTAGACATGGGATAAGATCTAACAGGTTAGGATATGTCCAAAGTGAGTAACTGTAACCCTCAAGGTTTATTGTTGTTGAAACCTATTTAAACTCAACCGAATAGTTCCAGCTTCCAGCTGATTAATTTATATGGTGAGTGACCTTTCAGTTCAGATAGCTCTGAAAACTCTGAAAACCTGATTTTGCCTGTAGCAGGGCCGACACAAAGTATGTGCCTTGTTTTTTCATTATTTACCAAACAGAGACCACCGGCAAGGTCTTTCAATAGTCAGATCTGTAAGTAGGCCTGTCAGACAAGCCAACATGTTAGAAGTACAAAGAAAGATGAATATGTACGAAATCACTGACAATTATAACCTTCACACACTCTCCATCCACAGTGGGTCCACTTGAATGGGCATGTAATGCTGGCTTACCTATGCTGGCACATGGCACAAATAGAGTGAATCCCTTGTATTAACCATTTTACCAAATTTTCTTGACATACGTTTTTTCAAAGAACAAAAGGCACTAAAACGGAATTTTGAGGTAGTTATAATTTGTTGTCCAATTGGAGTTTTCAGTTCTGGATTTTGTCATTTTTAATAGATTTACTCAAATAACATTTATAATGTATTGTAACAAATTTAATAAAATTGTATGTTTTTAAATATCAAGAAAAAAACTCATGATATATGATATGTGTGATTGATGACTTGTTTATTTTGTGTTAATTCATAATCACTTTAATGAAACGAATAAAAACACTTTTGT